AACAATGGTTTCAACAATGTTGAGGAACTGTGCAACATCTTGAAAAAGAACAAATTCAATGCAGTCCAAGACGATATCGTAAACCCAATGCAGCCAGCAATCTCTTATTTGAAAAAAGTCAATTTCGATAAGGAAATTTTCCTCGTTGGTTCAGAAAGCTATAGAAAAGTATTACAAGAAGCTGGGTTCAGAGTGAGTCCCGAAGTGAGTAATCTGTTCAGGAAATCTCAATGATCGTTTAATTAATGCTCTTTATTGGGTATAATATTCTTAATAAAACTTCAAAAACTAAACTCTCTAGAAAAGAATCAATTGAAAGATAGCGCAGATTCCTGCAACTCAGTACAACCAAGTAAGGTAGGTAGTGGCGTATTTTGGTTAAAATATACATATTTTATATATTCAAAATACATCCGAAATAAAAATATCTTCGAAAGGTAGGGTAGACTGGGTACGGTTGTGACAATTTTTATTTGACAGCTAATAATTTCGTTTGGATTAAAGTTAGAAACATGGAAGATATTTTATATTGTAAAGCGTACATTTGGCTAAGTAAAAACATTATGATTTTCTTTCTATGTGACATACATAACACATGGGAACAAGTTATAGAACAAAAGGGAAAATGTCACAACCGACCACATGCCAGGGGCGGTTGTGACAGTGCATGGGGTCGATTGTGACAGGCTTAAATAATACCAAAATGATCACCAATAACTTTTATTATCTGCAATATCGAAGTTATACTTTCATTTACTACTTATTATTACGAATAATCATAGTACAAACTATAATCAGTCTTAAATCAGTCAAAGTCAATAATCAGTACAAACAAAATAGCAATTAGGTAATTCTTATAAATGCTAAGTATCACAAGCAACTTATTTAATAGAAAAATATCTTTCATTCTTAACAACTTAACAGTCACTTCAGAAGTTACCATATAATTATTTTAATCTATATCACATTCAAAGTTTTTTTTAATTAGGAACATTAGTCTTACTTTACTAAGAGATGCATGGAAATGTTTTTATAATATCTTCAATTTTAAATTAGGAACGCAAATTTTTTGTAGTCATCTAATCGGAGTCCTCACAGTTGTGGCAAATATAATGACGACTACCATCTGTACACTCCAAGTGGGACCATAATTTACATTTTCCTTGGCATTGTATCCATTTCTCGCCAGATCTGCTATCAGAAAATGATCCCACGCATACCAGACAGAAAGACTCCTCCTCATCAGATGACATTGGTGTTGGAGTTTTCTTAGGTTTGTTGTCTTTGTTTTTCCCCTTTCCCTTTCCCTTTCCTTTTCCTTTTCCTTTCCCTGTTGATTCATTGAAATTTTTCTTCACCTGTTTAGCCTTCAATCGTCTTTCTTTTTCTTCATATTCCCGTCTCACTGCCTCTTTTTCAGGGGTGTCTGTGTATATGGTTGATTTTTTGGTTCTGCGGCCGCTTAATTTTCTTTGAGAAGCCTTTGGGAAAGGCCGAACAGTATCAGGGCAAAATACAAGCGGTATGGCCGAGGACGACGTAGATGGCTGATCATTGATTTGATTTCCATTAGAAGATTCGNCCCATAACCTGTTGTATATTAACAGAAATCAGGCTTATACTCTTAGTTATTGTTATATTCAATAGAAACAACGTGCTACTTTGATACTCTGTATTCAACTAACTTTTTTTCTTTACAGTGTTGCCACATGGCTTCTAATACCATGACATGTGACCTTTCGATATTCACAACAACTTCTCCAATAATAATTCTCCATAACATATTTTCTTCACTTTCCCAACATTTGTTGATGTGCTGTCTTCCAGCAGTCCGAGTCTCTGCATATGATGATTCAAATGACAGTGACCTGTAAGAAGGCCTGTTAAACATCGTAGTTCATCCCTATTGTAGTTCAACATGTTCGGAATCAAGCTTCGAAGGGTGAATAAACGCCTTGTAGTAAGCCAATCCTGAAAGATTCTGCCAGAAGTCCATAAATCTTCTTGCCATCCAGGTGTTCAATCTTTGTTCGGCAAAGCCCAAAGCGATGCCATCGACAGGTTCTGGTCAGATAAAGCTGCTTGCAGCATCCTCGTTTGCAAGGGAGTCAGCAGCCTCAGGCAGGTATGGCCAGGAGTCCAGACCAAAGACAATCTGTTAAGTGTTCCTATCGAGAAGAGTCGTTTTTGGCAATTTGCTACCAATTTAGACGTTTTATTGACTTGTGAATGAGGTTGGATTCTTCCAATCTCTCCGCAAACAATTCAATAGCGTGAATTTTCGCTTGAAATACAGTCGCATAGGTTCTTAGGCAGGTTGATATCTCTGTTCTAGGTCTGCGACTGAAAACACCTGCACCAGAACCGGAAGGTGTTTTTGATCCATCTGTGAACCAACATCTGTCTGCTCTTAATATTTCCTTCTCCCGGAGGATCCAGTCCTCTCTACTCGGGAACAGTACTTTATAAGGCAGTTCGTAGTTGGCAGGTGGAACATAAGGTCAAAGGTCATTTCCAGAAACCTGTGACTTCCAGTCTCAACCAACAGTCTGTTGCACTCTGCATCAAATTGATTAGTGCAATTGGCAATGTTCACAAGTCTATATGTAGTCCATCTAGCCTCTCTCTCCACAAAAATGTGGAGAGGAGGTAAATCTAGAAGGATCTCCATGGCCGCTGACGGTGTGGTACTGATGGCACCACTGATGACCAGACAAGTCATTATATTTTGATATGTGAATAATTTCCGAAATGTTTTACAGTCCAATGAAGCAATTTACAAATTCTGGAATGTACAACAGCGAAAATCGGCATAACTGCCCAGGTATGTTCCGGTATTAATGTATATGCGAAATTATTGGTTTTAGAGTAGATCATACATCTGATGATGTATGATCTGTATGATGTAGAATTTATGGCAACCATTCTAAATAATCTCTTTGATGGACTTGACATCATAAGTGGTCTCAATTTGTATATTTCCATAAGGAATA